CTTTATTGTCTTTTTCCAAAAAGCGTTCAAGGGAGAAAGCCTTCAAGTGATGGTATGCTCCTTCCTTTCTAAGGCCTTGATTCCACTGGTCTATTGTTCCATTGCTCCCTCTTAAGTTCTTAGGGTTCTGGGAACAGATCTCTAGTAGCTACTTTCTGTTCTTTGTTGACTTCTTCTACAAATACTACACCTATAGTCTATATCATACATTTGAGTACTTGATTACAACCACCTTGATTCTGCCATTATTTCATGTATCTGTAGGCATCTCATTGTGGGGACAAAGACTAACATTTCTTATCCAGCCCCACAATGCCCAAATATGGGATCTCAGACTTCAGTGTGCCTAAAGATCACTTAGAGAACTTGTTTAAAATAAAGATACCAAGACGTCACCTCAGAGAAACTGAACATGACTTCAGCATTGTCCTGAGATCTGGATATCCAACAGGCACACCCACATAATTCTGATGCAGGTAGTTTGAAATCACATTGTGAGATATATTGTCTATGACATGCCAGAGCATTTGTTCAATAAAAAATGAATGATTTGTTCTTCTCTACTCTGTCCTTCTAGAGTTTAGAATCCTGGTTTCCCTTACTATGTCAACATGAATCTGACATTCATGAATTTATCTGTCTTTTCTTTAGAGTTGTTAGTTTTTTCCCTTTAATAGCTTAGTGTTACAAATTTCATAAGTTTATAGTTAGCCATATAAAGTATAGCTCTATGTTATCCTGTTGCCCTTGATTTATTTCTTATAAGACTCACAGTTATTCTAGTTACAAAATTCCTGGATTTGGCAAATGTTTCAGTCAGCTCAGGGTGTCATAAAAAACACCCTAGATTAGGTGGCTTAAACAAGAGAACTTTATTTCCTCACAGTTCTGCAGGCTGCAAGTTCAAGATCAGGGTGCAGGCATGGTGGGGTTGTAATGAGACCCTTCTTCCAAGCTTGCAGGCTTCCTGGCTTGCTGCCTTCTCACTGTATGCTCACATGACCTCTCGTCAGTATGTGCACGTAGAGAACATGAGAGAGAGACGGAGAGAGATCTTTTCATCTTTTCACAAGGCCACCAATCTTACCAGTTTAGGGCCCTATTCTTATGACCTAATTTAACTTTAATTACCTCCTAAAAGCCCTTCCAAATACAGTCACATCAAAAGTTAGGGCTTCAACATACGAATCCTGCAGAGACACAATTCAGTCTGTAATAGCAAACTAACACGCAATACTCAGGTACAACTACAGCTACACATAAACATGCACACCCAGGAGGTGGCACACACGGTGAATGTTACAGGTGTTTGGTAAGCATTTGTTTGATGAGTGAAATGATAAAACATCTAGAAAACAGCTACAAAAATAGCTAAGAAAAGAAGAATATGTGATATGCTTTGCTTTACACAGTCAATGTATGAAAATGTAAAAATGCACATACTGATATATTTGACATACAAAAGAATTCCCTGACTTCCTTTGAGCACGTGAACTTTTAAAAATTCCATTTATTTTTTTTCTGAAAAAAATAATACTAAGCAAATTGAGGTATATGTCTAAATGGATAATAAATTTAGATGAAGTTTGGGTGGTTTATCTACAAAGGTTTCATGGCAATGTTATTTTAAATAGTTTGGAGAAGAAAGAAGTGGAGATTCAACCATTGGAAATTAAATACTTCCACTACATTTCACTGGCCAAAGACAAGCTCTGTATAATTCTCCCTTATATAGGGAAAAGTGAACCGGTCAATGAATAGTAGTAAATCCTGCCACAGTAACTATAGGAGCTTTTTCAGTATAAAATTGTCTGTCTTCTCAACGTATCTGCTGAAATATTTTATTTTTACTGATTTGAGTGTTAGCAACAATTCCTGACCACCGCACAGAAAATGAAAGCAAGAGGTGGCTTAGAGGTCTACAGCTGCTGGTAGATGGGCAGCAATTTCTTTTCCACACCTCTCTTTGGCATCTGAGTGGATCTAGAGAGACAATTTTGGTCTTTGAGGTTTCAGAATTGATTGCAAGTGAAATAATTAGGGCCTTTAGCTTCGCCTGAAAAAGCCAGAACCTGAAAAGTGCCCCCAGGGGAAGAGTAGAACAGTTAAAGGCTCTGAGCTCTAGAGGCAGGAAATGCTGGCTCTCAGATATCTGCCGAAAGCCTTCCTCAACAGTTTTCTCTTCCTTGCCTCCTCAGAGAGCTGAGCAGCGAATTCAATGAACAGAGACAGACACCTAATGCAGCTACCTAACTCACCACTTAGAAGAAAGAGACACTCATTTTCCTGACAACGGTGTGCTCATGGCTCACAAAGCAGGTGAACTTTCTCCTCTTCCTCTTGGAACAAATGGTGAGGTAGGAGAATCAACACTCCCTTCACAATGGGTTTCACCTCTTGGAGAACTTCAGGGTGGGAGCTGTTAACTTTCCATTCTGCTTTAGACTCAGAACTTCATTGGTGTTGCCTCAGGAACAATCAACAAGTACCTCTGACTAACAAGTTGAACATCCATGGGTCTATGTGACACTCCCAACTGACACTGAAATAGAACCTGAGTAACATAATTTTTAACTGAATAGCTTCACTTATTGGGTATAAGGGTGGGTTATAAGATAAAAGGAAAGAAAAGTGACTTAAATGTGCTCGTCTGTGACTGTAACAAAGTCTGAAGTCATTTTATTTAGTGACTGAGGAAGAGCATTGACAATAATCTAGACAGAAGAGATTATTCATAAACTAATCTCACCAGAGAATGACTATGACAGAGTTTAACCATGTGTGGCTAATATCGAATCCTGTTTGCATCACAGGCCTGGTGAGTGTTTCACTACAGTGCACCCTCTCTAATCTCCACTCAAGCAATTTACCAGATTAACCAATTATCTACAGTGTCACTGTGAAATATCCCAACTGATACTATAGCACACTATAACCTTATAACTGGTAAGGCTACTCTTTTGTATATCCGTGTACTTTTTCAATTCCCACCAACTTGAGTTGTATAATTACCAAGAATTAAGTGTATTTGTCCCCAAACTTGTTAATATCAGTTGTAGTTGTTGTTTTAATTATAACATTTAATTATATATCATGTAAATTAATGAAATATAAATGTGAGAAGTAAGAGTTGCTGTTTCTACAAAAACCAGGCTAAATGCCTTGGAAAGATTCATATAAAAGTGTATTGTAGGAGAGTTCAATGTAAAATACTAGAGGAAAAAAATGAAAGAAATTTAGAAGAGTTTTGTCTCATTGCTTTGCAACTGACTTTACTTAGTTTCACAGCAACTGAAAACGGGCATTCTTATAATTATATTGTGACTTTGTAAGCAAGATAGATTCAGAACTCCAATTAGCTATGCCTTACTTAAAGAGAAGTACTTGGCCTTATATTAAAAGATTTTAAAATAGTGCATCTTAATAAGCTTTAATCAAACATACAATTCTTAAGATACATAAGTAGTATTTTTGTTTTTATTTAACTTTTTCAAATTTTTAATAGAAAAATGTTCAATATATAAAAAAGAGAAATCTAAAGTACTATAAACACCTGCATACCTTCACCAAGTTTCACCAGTTTTAATATCTTGCCACATTTTTTCCTCCTCAGTCTATATATATATACACATATATGTGTATGTTTTACAAACCATTTGAAAGTAAGTCGAAGGTATTGCAAGACTTCACCCCTAAATACTCCAGCCAGAATCTCCTAAAAGTACAGATATTTTCCTATATAACAATAATACCATTATCATACTTAGAAAATTGATAGTAATTCAATAATATCATCTCAGTTGCTGCCCTCATGTAAATAATCCCAGAAGCCTCCATAGTGTCTTCTGTAGCACCTTTTCCCATATGCAGAATCCAGATCAAGTTTCACACACTGAATTTGCTTATTTTGCCTCTTTAGTCTCTTTTAATTTAGAACAGTTTTTTTATTGTCTGTTTTTCATGACATTGATTATGAAGTTGATTATTTTCTCCCTATTAGATTTAGTTGTAACTTTTCTTCCCAAGAACACTAGATAAGTAATATGTATTTCTTACTGCATCATTATCAGGTTGCAATATTACTGTCATTGGTAGAAGTACCTCTACAGGTTATAATAAATTTGATCACTTGCTGAAGGTACACTTCTCCTTTTTGTAATTAGAAGTTGATCTCTATGAAGGTATTTCACTATGGCATGAATATTCTATTCCCCAACAACCTTTGATCCAATAGTTACAAGTCTTGATCACCTTTGCGAACTCAAGTATTACATAGACAGATGCAAAAGAGGAATTTCCTAATTCTATAATCTCTTCTGCTTTTATTAGCTGATATTTTTGTGTCCCTTAAAAAAAAAAAAAAAAAGCTTTCTCTCAACTTTCTTTTTCTCTATCTCTAAGTACCTCATTAACTTGGAAAGTTATTTTATTCTATGTATAATAATCCATTACTGTAATAATTTTTTGATTCCTAAATTGTCCAAATTTGGAAAGCGGAGGGACTTTCCCATCAGCTTCTGTGTTCTTTTTGAAACGTACTATTAGTCTTTGAAATTTCTTGTTTTTTAAAAAGTGCTAGACTTTTTTATATTTTCCCTGAACCAAAACTGAATCAGCCATATATTTTTTTTTTTTTACAAATAGTTTATTGTCAAGTTGGTTTCCATATAACACCCAGTGTGAATCAGCTATATTTTGAGTAAAGAATGATATTTAAAAACCATGATTTGGGCACTAGATGCGCTTGTTGCTACTAGGGTGTCTTGCTTCCAGTCTATAATACTCACTTATTATCATATATTTAGGCAATATTGAAACTTTTATAAGTGTCAAATTTCTATGAATGTCTGTTTCTTTCTTTCTGTCTGGCTCTCTTTCATTTTCTCTCCACTTTTCCCTATAGTTTTTGTGTAAGATTCAGGATCCTAATAAAGTCAATATATTGCAATTGATTGACACGTACTTATCTCTCGTTTTTCCTTTATATTTATTTGCTCAAGAAATGTTTTTTTTATTCCCTTGTGGAGTATCCCACAGTATAAATTTTGCTGATTGCATACACATGGTATAATTCAAATGTTCCTCTTCTTCTAATATCTCCCGTAGATTGGTTGTTAGCTCTAGAGGCTTTTTGATTTATTGGCAAAGATAGGTCATAAGCGATGTCATGTACTTCCATTAGGAGGCGCATAATACCTGATTGATTTTTTTTTTTCCATAGGATGTCAGCAACCAATGATGATCACTGCTGAAATCCATTAATTTATTAGGACTGAAAAATAATGATACTCTAATTATTCCTTCTTCATTTACTACCTGGAATACTCTTATAAATACACATTTCCCCTCATCAAATATTTAGTTGATATAGGGATACAATTTGAATGGGAATATAAGAATAAATATTTGCTAACCTTCTCTTTATTACCTATTGGTTTAGAAGAACACATTGATTACCTAGAATTCTCCAAAAGTGGCCAATAATTTCTTTTTATCACTATAAACTCATGGATTTAAACTTATTTGATGTGCTTCAAATCACTGCAATTATTTTCCTAGTGACGTTGAAAGTGTTCCATATTTTGTTCAAAAAGATTCTGTTCAAGATAGCTCCTACATCCTTCTGTCACTACACTAGTTTTCTTTGGCATTTATCTTACTTTTTGATATGACAAGAATGTTTCAGGCCTATCTCATAAAATTTTCTGCCCAAGATTCTACAATCTGCCATTTCTTCATCAAGTTTTGGTATCTCTTAGTGGGAATGAGATGTAGAGACCACAATCAGAATTCTAAAGGTATACATTGCTCTGGGCCCATCATTGTTTTTTAGGTCATTTTAGAGGACAGGGCTAGAAAAATGCTTTGAAAAAAATAATGGTATAGAGCACGTATTCATATTGATCTTCCAATTCAAATTCAGGACTACTAGATGTTTATTAATCTCACAAATCTTTCACCTGTATCTTCTTCCTCCTATACAAAATATCACTGTCTCAACATCTCATTATTTATTATATTCCATTTACTTTATAATACACACTCTCCAGTCTCAGATAAATGCCTACATCACCACCAACAATGTTTACCAAAAAGATTATTTTGTATTTCTGTTTTTTGTTTTAAATATACACCACTAGGGATATATAGTCAACTTTAATTACCTACAACATATACATATAATTGAAATAACTCTCTACTTTGTGGTTTTACCAACAACTCCATACATTTAGACATTTGTTTATTTTGCTTCTGGCTTTTAGGATCATTTTTAATTTCATTTTGCTTTTAATTATATAAAATATTTACAATGATACAAACTGAAATCTGTAAATCAAAGTATGATCAAGGAAGTCTAGCTTCTATCTCTGTCTCCATCATATTGTTTACTTTTTCTACCAAAAAATAATCAATATTTTTGTTTATCTATTAAATATACATACATATATGCACTATATATACGTATACATATCATAAAAATATACACAAAAATACACAAACGTGTGTGTATTCCCATATCCTCCCCTTAAAAAATAGCAACATACATGGGCACCCGGTGGCTCAGTTGGTTGAGCAACCAACTTCGGCCCAGGTCACGATCTCAGGAGTTCATGAGTTTGAGCCCCACATTGGGCTTGCTGCTGTTAGTGCAGAGCCAGCTCTGGATCCTCTGTCCCCCTCTCACTCCCTCTCCCCCACCCTCTTTCTCTCTTTCCCTCTCTGTCTCTCTCTCTCTCAAAAATACATAAACATTTAAATAAATAAATAAATAAATAAATAAATAAAAATAGTGACAATGCACACTTTTTCTTCACCTTACTTTTCTCACTTAAACTACACATGCTGGAGATCCTCTGCAGAAGATAATATTGATTATCTCTTATAACTGAATGATAATTTATTGTGCAATGCCTACAAGTGCTCTACTGATAAACACTTGGAAATTTCTTTTGCTGTCATGAATAATGCTGAAATGAAGAGTTTTTTGCTTATACTTTACATATTTTTACTACTGTACTGCATTGTGTTACTATACCCTCTGAACTCTAGAAGTTAGATTGCTGGATCAAGGTATACATATGTAATTTTGCTAGATGTTGATAAATGACCTTCAAATTATTGTATTATTTTTATTTCTATCAGCAATATATAACAACATTCATTTACCCATAGCTTCACCAATAGTATAGGTTGTTAAACTTTGGGACTTTTGCCAATATGATAGATGAGAATTTTGTTTTTGGCTGTTTTAATTTGCATATTTCTTATTGTAAATGAGTAATGAGGTTAAGCACCATTTTCATAGTTAAGGACCATTTGCAATACTTCTCATGAATTGACTATTCAAATTACTAACCTATTTTTCTTTTTTTTTTTAATTTTTAAAAATGTTTTATTTATTTCTGAGAGAGAGAGAGAGAGAGTGTGTGTGTGTGTGTGTGTGAGCAGGGGAGGGTCAGAGAGAGAGGGAGACACAAGAGTCTGAAACAGGCTCCAGGCTCTGAGCTAGCTGTCAGCACAGAGCCTGACGTGGGGCTCAAACTCACGAACCATGAGATCATGACCTGAGCCAAAGTTGGACGATTAATTGACTGAGCCACCCAGGTGCCCCAACCCATTTTTCTATACAATTGCTGGTCTTTTTCTTTTCCACATCAGATGCTATTTACATATTAATACTTGGTCTGTGATAAAAGTTGTGATTTTAAAAAATTTGTCCTTTGTCTTTTTACATATGGTAAAAATAATCCTTTTGTTTTGTTTTGCCCTGCAAAAGTCTTTTCTTTTATCAGATTTAACAATCTTCTCCCTTTTGGACTTCATGAGGATTTCACTCATGTGTCTCCTACTACTCATATGATTTCTTTTAATATTTAAATCTCTAAACTACTTGAAAGTTATCATAATATTCAGTATTAGGAATATATTCGATTTCATAGGCTCCCCACAGCTACCCAGCTTATCTCAATACCACTTATTAAAAGTGCAACCCACAGTGTTGCCATATGCTGTTATGTTTACTTGTGGATTTTCTATTCTGTTCTATTCTGTCTGTCTATTCAGGCACCATGATCACACTGCTTTAATTATGTTTTAATATAAAGTAGGCCTATTTTACCCCCATTGCTCTCCATTTCCAATGATTTGACGAGTCATTGAAATGAACTTTATAATCAACTTTTCTATCTCCCGGGGGGAAAAAGCTTGATCATAGTTTACTGGAATTCTGTTAAAGTTATAAATTAACTTGACATCTTTACAACGTTTCCTCTTTCTACCCAAGTATTTGATAAAACTTTCCACATGTTTGAGTTAAATTTTTATGTTTTTCAGGATTATCTTTATAGTTTTCTTCATTAAATGTTCTAGGATATTCTTCTCAATTTTATGCCTAAATATTTTATTTGGATATAATAAATAGTATATTCCCTTCTATTACATTTTCTAAGTGGTTTCTTGCTCTACATAATAAGGCTATTGCTTTCTAATATTGACTTTGTAACCTACTACTTCATTAAATTCTCTTACTAACCTGTGTTAGTTTCCCACTAATGTTTTGGGCTTTCCGGATATAAAATAATATCATTTGAAATAAAGATCATTTTTATTCTTTCAAATTAATATGCTTTTAATTATTTTCTCTTGTCTAGGTATATTGGTTAATATCTCAATACAATGTAAAATAATAGTGTGCTTATGGTTGCCAGATAAAATATAGGATGCTCAGTTAAATTTGAATTTCAGATAAATAATGACTAATTTTTAACATAAATATGTCCCAAATAGGGTGTTATATGGAAACCAACTTGACAATAAACTATTTGTAAAATAAATAAATAAATAAATAATAAAATAAAAGTTTTCAAATAAAAAAATGTCCCAAATATTGCCTTTTTATCTATGGAAATGTTATTCTGCTCACTATACTTTTTTTTCTTGTAATAACTATAATATTTTTTGGTACTTATATTCAATTGAAATGAGTTTTCCTACACTCAATGAGGAAGGTGGGTCAGAATATTAATGCATAATTAGAAAGTAAAATTTAAGACAACTTATAATTTAAAACAATACTAATAATCAAAACACCAAAATACATAAAATATTAAATAGCAAAATTAACAAAATATATATAAGACCTGCACATTGAAAACTATAAACTCTATTGTAGAAAATTACAGAAAACGGAGAGATGTGCCATGTTCACACATTGAGAGACTCAATTTTACTTTAGGTGTCAATTTTCCCCAAACTGATCTATAGATTGAAACCTAATCACAATCGAAATCCCAGAAGACTTTTAAAAGAAATTGAAAAACTAATTTAAAAATTTATGTGAGCAGTAACAAAAGGATAGCTAGAAAATCTCTAAATATATGGATATGAAACAACATACTTTTAAATAACACATGAATCAAAGAAGAAATCCCAAGAGAAATTATAAAATATTTCGAACTAAATGGAAAAGAAAATACAACTCCTCAAAATTTGTGGCATGCAGCAAAAGCAGTGATTAAAGTTTTAGAGCTTGGAATGCCTGTATTACAAAAGAAGAAAGATCTAAAATTAATAATCTGATTTCCATATTAGGAAACTAGAAAGGGAAGGGCAAACTAAATCCAAAGTAAGCAGAAGAAAAGAAATGATAAGAATTAGTTAATAAATCAATGTAATTAAAAACAAGAAATCAAATAGAGAAAATCAATGAAGCTAAAAGCCAGTTCTTTGGAAAAAAACAATAAAATCAATAAATCTTCACACAGACTAAGAAAAAAAGAGGACACAAATCACTAATGTCAGAAATCGGGGTCGCCAGGGTGGCTCAGTCAGTTAAGTGTCGAACTTTGGCTCAGGTCATGATCTCACAGTTGGCGAGTTCAAGCCCCAGATGGGGCTCTAAGCTGACAGCTCAGTGCCTGGAACCTGCTTCAAATTCTCTCTCTCTCTTTCTCTCTCTCTCTCTCTCTCTCTGTCTCTCTCTTTCTCTTCCCCCACTCATATTCTGCTCTCTCTCAAAAATAAACATTTAAAAAATTTAAATAAAATTGAAAAAAAGAAATTAAAAAGGAGACATAATGGACATTATTTATATTTATATAAAAAGGAGACCTTATGGACATTAAAATAAGAAGACAGGAATACTATGAATATGCTGTGCACACAAATTTAATAACCGAGATGAAGTGGACCAATTGCTTGAAAGACACAACTAGCCAAAAGTGAAACAAGAAGAAATAGATAAACTGAATAAGCCCATATCCATTAAAGATA